TTAAATCACGATTCAGACTAGACTGCATTGAGTGTAAGTCTGCGCGAGCATATGTTATGTGGGTGTCGTCTGCATACATCCTAGATTGGCAGAACGACAAACAGTTTGGCAAATCATTGATATAGATCAAAAAATAGAAGAGGTCCAAGGATAGTTCCTCAGGGACCCCACAGCCCAGAGAACAGACTTAGGAAAGCGAAGCATTGACTACACATTTCTGGGTACGGTTATTTAGATAAGACTTAAACCAATCGTAACCATACTCCTGTATTCCGTACAGACTAAGTTTACCTAAAAGAACATCGTCATCAACGGTATCAAATGCTTTTTTTAAGTCCAGGAAGACCACTGCATTTACATTACCGCGATCTATATCGAGAGCCCAGCTGTCAGTCGCTTACAAGAGAGCAGTGGCAGTCGAGTGCAACGAGCGGAAACCTGATTGTTGGTTGGTGCTTATCCCCTCATTAGCCAAAAAACTATACAGTTGATCATACACTATTCTCTCGAACACCTTAGCTGTTATTGAGATAACAGAGATAGGTCGATAATTATTCACATCAGTTCGCTCACCTTGTTTAAACAATGGAGTCACTCTAGCGCATTTCCAGTCATCTGGAAACAAACCAGAACTTAAACAGTTGTTGAAAATGTTACATACAGGGATCGAAATAAGACCCGCACATTCCCGAACTAGTTTGGCAGAAATATTATCGAGACCTGTTGCTTTGTATTTAGACAATTTATTTAAGAGAACAGACATTACTACTAATAATTGGACTGAAAATGAATTTGTTGTTGCTGCTAACAATGTAATCACCATAAATTGAACTGTTAGTAACAAGGGGTACCTCATTAGGTAGTTTGGTTCCGGTTGTTGAAAAGTGATCATTAACTGCATTGGAAAGCCCGTGAGAATTGGTTACTGAGTTCTTGTTTAGTTTTAATTCTTTCATAGACGCGTTATTTTTGTGACAGGACATGAGTTCATTAATCAATTGCCAGGTTTTACGCGAGTCGCCATCAGACTGAATAAACGCACTAGCATATTAGGATGCCTTTGCGGATTTGACTTCTTCATTGATCCTATTACGTAGCCTTTTGTACGTAGCCCAGTCTTGAGGATTGTTACACTTAATAGCTTTCCGTTTAACAACATTGTGATCACGCATACCCTTCCGCGGGTCTGATGTGATCCAAGGTACCTTGCGTGACCAAACACGTTTAGTTTCGATTGGAGCATGACTGTTAAACCCTGCTAACCCTGAGATAGAGAACAAACAGCTTCAGCCAGAGGCTTTGGGAGCGAAGGCTTATAATTCGTTGTGTACAGACAGGCTCGATTCTGACCCACCAAAGGTGAAGTTCCATGACAAGATGACAAACCTTAAACTTAAAACATTTGGTGATCTCTCTAAAAAATTGAAAGTCCAAGGGGGTCAAGGAAGGAAGCAATAATTAAAGTGGATCGGGCACTTTGCCCAAATCCTTATCATCGCTAAGAACAGGAAGCTTAAGATGAGTGATGTGTTGTACCACCCACTCGGGCCTCTACCTTGGGCCCTCGCTTCGGCTGATGAATCGCTGAGAAAAACCAACAAGGCATTGCTTGCCAAGGAACCACAAAGGAATCTAACTGCAGCAGACGTAATTCTGCAGCCGTGCGCAATAGTTTTCAAGGGAATGGCAATGGTTCACAAGGTAAAGGGCGACCAGAAGACCTTTGCTGAAATGGCCGATAGCCTGATGGAAATGGTTTTGCATGAAGGAACAGACAGTCAGTGTATTGACGTGGTCTTTGATGTTTACCGCGACAGAAAAGGAAGGCTCAGAAACCAGTCACAAATTCAGAAACATCAAGGCAGATCACAAAATACATCAATGGCGAAAGTTCCTATCCAGTGCTAATAATAAATCGCTCTTGATCAAATTCATATCAGAAGACTGGCAAAATGACAGACGCAGAGAGAGCCTTGCTGGAAAGACAGTCTTTGAAACCAGTCATTTCAACTGAGGCAACAACAAGGGAAGAGCTAAGGTCGACTCAAGAGAAAGCTGATGCCAGATGTTACTCCACGCATTTCATGCAGCAGCAGCAGGATAAAGAGCCGTTGTCATTACGTCAGAAGACACGGACGTGTTTGTTCTCTGTTTGGCTTTTAAAGGCTTCATACCATGTTCTGTGTTTGTTAAATGCGGCCAAAAGACTCTAACAACATACATCGATGTGTCAAGTGTTGTACGGATGTTGGGCGCCGAACTAGATCTCTCCCAAGTCTCCATGCCCTCACTGGCTGCGACAGTATCAGTGCTTTCTCTGGAAAGCGCAAGGCATTAGCTTTGAAGATGGTTAGACAAAACAAGTCCTTCGAAACTTTATTCCAGGAGAAAGGTACGGAGTGGAACATCACAGATGAACAATTTGCCAAGCTCCAAGAGTTCACATGCAAGATGTACAGCTCCACCCCAGGGACCCACCTTGTTAATGAGCTATGTTACCGGTATGGTATTATTAGGGACCTTAAGCATCGACAACGAAATACATGACAACAACGTTTGTAACCCAAGAAGGATTTGGTCGAGGCTTTCGTTCTCGGCGGGAAAAACAAAAGTTAAGCAGTGTGTTGTTTTGAGGAGATGACGACTTTTGGTTTTCTGACTAGTTGCTCTAGCTATGGCATTCATAAACGTCCGAAATCTGCTTCTAATTAATCACAATGATGGCTTTATTAATGATGATGAATTTGTTGTTCTATACGACCTCTATGCATCGAAAAACCTTGACTTTCTGTACGATTCGTACGTACCTTTTGACCTGGAAGAGCTTGACGAGTCTGAGAGTTTCATAGAGTTTCGCTTTTGAAAACGAGATACACGAATTCTGAAGGAAGTTTTGCTAATCCCTGACACGATTACCCGCAGTCAGCGCCCTGTTTGTAATGGACTAGAAGGTCTCTGCATGCTGCTAAAGCGGCTTTCTTACCCAAGCAGATATGGAGACATGGTCCATAGGTTCGCTAAACCTGTTCCAGTTCTTATCATGATCACCAATCAAATGATTGACCTTGCGTATAATGTTCACAGGAACAGTCTACTAAACTGGAATCATGAGGTCCTTCGCCCTGTCAACCTGCAGAGTTATGTTGATGCTGTGACAGCCAGGGGAGTCCCATACCATTAGGCCAATATCAAGACCTGGAGAACATCAGCGACTTCTTTACAATGGCTATAACAGGGATCATGCCCTGAAATTTCAAAACATTGCTTTGCCAAGTGGCTTGACCGGAAATCTACATGGCCCAGTTTGTAAGTTACAAAACAGTACAGGCCACCAGTTTTAAAGCAGGGATGTGACCAGCGTTTTGACCGGTGGCAGGCCTGATAAATGCATGACACCAAATGTTTATTTTTGAAGACCTTGCTCTTATTTTAAAAGGGAAAATACTGGGAAAAAAATGAACCATTTTACGGGCTATAGGACAGGCTAAAATTGTTTAATGTTTTTATTCAATAATGATTACCAAGGGGAGATCAACAGTTTATTGGGAGCATAGCCAGAGGGAAGAGGGGACTGTCCTCCCCCTTTGAAATAAGAATATTATAAACTCAAGATGAAATTAGAAAAAAGTTTCTGATGTACTCACATAGTCAACAGCTTATGTAACCCAATCATAAGCAACCTTTACTCTTACACGGATACCTACCATCACCTACCTATTTTTAGAAGGAAAAAAAAAGGTGCAGGAATGCTTGCTGATTCACATCTACGACGTGACCTTCATAGGTTTGCAGTTTGTGTTTACGGTGACCCTGCCTATCCCCTTAGAGTGCAGATGCAAGGACCCTTTGGATATGGTGTATTGACACCACAAATGCAGCAGTACAATACAGAGATGAGTGCTGTTAAAAGTTCTGTTGAATGGCTGTTCGAAGATATAATCAACTCATTTAAGTTTAATGACTTTAAATAGGATCTGAAGCTTTTCCTCAGAAGTGTTGGAAAGATCTATGTTGTTTTTCATACTGCGTAATTGCAATGACATGCTTGTATGGTAATATGACCTCAGAATTTTTTGACCTTAGGCCACCTACTCTTGATACATACTTTGGCTAGGAAACCACATCATTGCCCAGTTTACATTGCCTTTGATAAAATATGTATCAAAACTTTATAACTGCAGTTAACCATGGCAGATATTTGTATGCTGATAAGTTGAAAACTATTTCTCACACCATTGCACTTCTTAAAAGAGAAAATGAATAATAATAAAATTAAGCACAATTTATTTTTAAAGTTTTCTATTTTTCAAAAACTGTTATTGTAACTACTGATTTATTTCCCAACTTAATCTTCCATTTTTCAGAAAACTGTGGTTAATTAACTTAAATTAGTTTTATAAATAGAAATATAAGAAATTTTTGGAAAAACTAGCAACAACATTGCAGAGTCAGGCCATTTATTGGGAATTCCTTTATCAAACATTTTACAAATATAGGAGCCCAAGGGCCTGTTTGTTGGAGGTTGGGCTGGCACTAACCCAGGATGTTTACCGGGGTGACTTAATGAATTTTTAGAGAGTCAACCCTGGGTGAAAGCTACCCCAATCTAACATGACTGAATGAAGATACCCATGCTTCTCTGGAGATTTTTGCCTTAATAATGCTTAAAATTGGCTCAATTTTTAGAGTGCACTCACTAAAGGTATGAAATACTATGAACTAATTACATAAAGGTACAGCTAACCAAACATTAGGAAAGAATAGACCTAGCTATAAAAACCTATTTCTTAGATTTATTTTGGGCATTTAGTGACTGCACATTAGGGGAAAGTTTGGGCATTTAGGCCCCTTTGTACTGACAAAAATCTGTCTATTTGAAAAAACAATGTAGAAAGTACTCTCTATACAAAGGAAATATAATAAAACCCATCAACAATGCTTTTTTAGATAACTTAAGTCATAACAAAAGTCAACTCAACAAGTCCAGGGCTCTCCCACATTCAGTAGGCACGAGCTTGATGCCTTTTTATATTTTCCGTCAATGACATAAATGCCTTGTTTTGCTGGTCAAGCATAATTTGAAGGTTTTGCTGTTGAAGCGGTTGCTCTTGCTGCATTGTGTTGATCAGTACTGAGAACACGGTCTGTTGCTGCTGGGAAGCCTCCTCTTGTCTAGTTTCTGCTAGATCAAGCTCTCTTTTTTTTTGATGGCTAACTCTTCCTTTTTCAATTCTCTTTTTCTCTGACTTCTCGGCCAAAAATCCGATTGCATGAAAGGTGCTCCTCCTCAATTTAGCTTTTTTTGGTTTCTCGCCACTATCATCGCTCTTTCTAATTGCCATTATCTGAAGAGCCGCTTGTCTGATTTCCTCTGCTGTAGCTTTTTCTTTCTCACCTTTTGCCTTCTCATTTCTCAGGGCGTCACTCTTTTCTTCTGCGCTTTTCTCCCGCTCTCGAATTTCCTCCAGCAAGGTATTGAGCTCTGTGAGATCAGAGACATCGATCCCAAATGCTTTCTCTTCTTCTCTTTGCTTTATTTTGTGCAGGGAGATCAGGAGTGCATATCGATGTCTCACTGCCCTTGCTGTAACCCTGAACTCTGGAGTCTCCAGAGAATTCAAATAGGCTGCGATGCTTTCCCATACTTTCCCTCTCTTGCTGCTTTTTGCTTTAAAATTGTAAGGTTCGGTCGTTACAGCTTCGCGAAGCATCAAGACATCATGGTCTTGCATCCAAACCGTACGTATATATACCGTATTTATTCGAATTAGCACCCACCTCGAATAAGCGCCCATGCTAAAGGCAGAAAAAGTTAATAAGCGTCCAGCCTCGAATAAGCACCCACCCCCTCCTCCTCCCAATCAAACTCAAATAAGCGCTCACCCCCACCCCACCCACTTTAGTGAATAAATTTTAATAAGAGACTTTCCCAAGGACGGAGTTTTCTTCAGAGTATTTTACAGAAACTTTGCTTTCTTAATTCCTCGTGTTTTGTTATTAGCATTTATTGTTTTGTTACGAAATAAACATACTTTACTTGCTGAAAATGGTGAAAATTTAATGAGCGCCCAGCCTCGAATAAGCGCCCACTCTCAAGGTCCAAAAATTTAATAAGCGCCCAGGGCGGTTAATCGAATAAATACGGTACCTGGATTTACTTGCTGTCAAAAAAAACCACGAAAATATATATTTTTAGTACCAAAACTGAAGATTTATATCTTGAAGTACAACTTAAAATTAGCACAATGACATGCAGGTCTAAAATAAGAAGAACATGACTTCAAATATCCCAAAATTCTCCCTAAAGAGATACAGAAAAACTTACTTTTGAACTGGTTCTTGCTCGGCTGCAGAAATGTGGCCAGCCATGGTTTCAGTTTCATTTTAGTCAGTTAAAAATTGCTAAACCGTTAAACATTTGACTTCCGCTGGTCCACAAATAGAACATCAAACAATCATTAAAAGGTGGAAATAGATAATTATCAGATTAAAAGTTTAGTTGTTTACCTACGTTTTCACCAGAGCAAAACCTTGCTCAGATTCAGTCGTCAACGAAGGCTGGACAATGTTTTGACAACCAAATGCATGCCCAGAAGGTTCGTCTTTGCAAAATTTCACTTCCGGTCAGAATCATCATCCCATTTTGTCATTGATGCTTAAGGTCCCAATTACTATCATTATCATTGTTCTCATTATCATTATCATTGTTATCATTATTGTTATCTCAGTAACTCGTCCCCAATTATTATGAATTCTTCAACACCTTTAAACTCGTATATTTGTAGGTTATTCTGTGCAAAACAAGACAAAATTGACTCCAACCAGCTACCTCCCTGTCCTGATTGTTGAAGCATAGAGAAGTCTGCTCTGCATATGGTTTCAAGAGGACAAGTTATCCATCAAATAGATGAGTAGAGAACCAGCTCCTGCAGCTCTCCTTTAGTTTCTCTCCTGTTACTGTGCAAGATCATGCAAGCTACCCACCTGTGCGCGGCTTACAAATGGCCTTGACATGTGCCGGCTTTATGACTGCAACAATCGTGTTGAAGAGGAGGAAATACCTGATAATGAATGTTCTGACGACGAAGTGGATGAGGAAGATTAGCATACTATGAAAAAGGAATTCTTATTCAATACTAGAACATATTGCAGTTGAGAAAATTGTGAAACCATAAGTCCTTCACGAAAAGTTATATATGATATCTCATAACGAAGAGTTGTTCGCATAAAAGTAATCTATCTTGACCTAGTCCAAGTTTTAAAATACTTATATAACATATTTATAATATATATATTTTTCAGATGTGTTTTGAATCAGAACTGAAAATTCTTACAGTTTTCAAGTTCTTTCACCACATTTTGCTTCCAACTTATCACGTCTTTATAATCATGATGGTGGATCTAAGATGGCCACTTAGACTCTCTGTCGTGATAGCTATGCTAGCTAATCAAATCATTGCTTCATGCAATGCTGAATCATCTCGTCTCCATTTGAAGTACATTCTGCGAAATCAACACATTCACAAATTCATTCCTATTTTTTTGGCTCAAATTGGTTATTTTCTGTTGCCATAGAAACTATTATCAACAGTCAGATCAGACTGTAAACTTACTGCTTTAAAAGCTCATCTGGTAGAAATCGCAATCATTTTCACATGTTAAATACACTTTTCGTAAGGTTAATATTAGAGGTTCGAGAATCATTGTCTGATTCATATCGATCCTGTGGAACTGAGTGACGTCATCTTATCACGTGATAATCCTGTTAAGCTACTCGCTCATTACTGCTATCATGCATAATATACAACTGGAGGAAGTGTAGTTTTCAAAAATGTATGATAGCATTACTTCCCACGAGTGGTGCTGAACAGGTATTTTGGGGGTCCTGGCCCATGGACTACATGGAAATGTGATTGGGGCCACTTGATTTTTCGTACATTCCAGACTAACCTCAGCGAGATCCTGTGTACCTGCATGTCCTGAGCAAGGACAATGAATATAAAACCAGTGTCGGAGAACACTAGCTATGAAATGAACTAAAAGAGATGTGCGAATTTTCATGGACGAAACAGTGAAAGAAAGCTGAGCAAAATGGGGAGAAGAAAAACTTAGAGGAGATGAAAGGTCCGTTTGATGCATGGTGGATAAAGCAAGGGCGTGCTCATTACTCAAGCACAGGTCATGGCACCCTGGTGGGATTGGAAACAGGGAAATGCCTCGATAATGCGACAAAAAAATACATACTGCAGAAAACACTTTGAAGCAGAAAAAAGAGGAGTTTAACCTGAACTTCGTGACTGTCGGCTCAACCATACCGGTTCTGCTAAAGCAATAAAAGCATAAATTGTAGTTGATCTATGTCATAAAGAAAAGTATCAGGTTTTAATAGGTCATGATGACTTGACAGTTGTGGCATTAATATGTGAGTAGGTGCCACATTTTAAGATAAAGGGTGATTGTCCGCCATTTCTTTCACCGTGTGATTGGACCATTGTAATTATCTTTTGTACAGTATTCCTAAATATCAAAGGGATAAGCTCCAACTAATCCAGAATACTGCAACGCATCTTATGATGGGCCTAAAACGTTCAGATCATGTAAGGCCTATACTAAAGAACTTGCATTGGCTTCCAGTTGAAGAGAGGATTGAATTTAAGAATTTCCTCATAACATATAAGACTGTATATGGCCAGACTGCAGACTACCTGAAGCCTTTAATTGAAATGTATCAACCGTCGCAAACTTTGAGATCTGTGTCACGTTCACTATTCTGTCCTCAAAAAGCTAAAACTGAAAACTACGGGTGTAGAGCTTTTTCTTTTTAGGCGCCGAAATTGTGGATACCAGAGGACATTAAGAATGCCAAGGCTGTCATCTGTTTTAAAAACAAGTTGAAGGCTTTTTTATTTTAGTAAACATTATGGTGAACTCAATTAGATAGGGATTTTGATTTTATCTTCTGTTTGCAAATCATTGTAAGGCGCATTGAGCTTTGTAAATGCTCCTTATAAAACTCTATTTATTATTATTGTCATGGTACGTCTAGGGTGACACACCATATATGGGCATGCATGCTTCATGCAGGATGTAATCTTGAGTGGAAGGCATTTTTCAGTGATTAAAAAAAAAAGAGTTCAATCTATCACATGGTGTCAGAAGTGGGATCCTGAGAAGATACTGGATCCTCCAGGTGAAACATTTTAAAACGCATTAGAACACACATCGCTACCAGCAGTAGTAGAGAAACACATAAAATTCAACTACTTCGAGCATTCACATTGAAGGTCGCCACATTGAAGGTCTCTTTTAAGGTCAGGTCAGCCAATATCAGATTTAATGTCGTGGAAGCCTGACAGTGCTAAGACCTGGGAATAATATTAACAAATTTAGATGAAGTTAACACCATTTCCCCAAACAAGACCGAAACTAGGGCACAATGTGGTCAGCTATCCAAACCCACTGTTATGGAAGAGTACCAAGATTGCTTCGACAAGCTAGGCTGTTTCCCAGGGGAGAAGTATCACATTCAGCTAACTGACCACCCTGTTCCAGTTATCCACCCGCTATGCACTGTTTCAGTACACATATTACCCTTATACAAGGAGGAACTTGACAATATGATCACAAACGACGTCATCACGGCCGTGACCGAACCAACTGACTGGGTAAACTCAATTGTGTGTAACATCAGAGAAACTCCCGAGGGCTAGAAAAAGATCAGACTTTGCCTTGACCCTAGAGGCCTCAACCAGAGAATATACCAAGAATATGCCTATTATACCCCCACCATTGACGAGCTCCTGGCGCAGCTACATGACAACAAATTCTTCTCCGTTGTCGACATGAAGAAAGGTATTGGTATGTAGCCTTGGACCACGAGTCAAGCCTGCTGTGTACATTTAACACCCCCTTCAGACGGTACCGTTTTAAATGATTACCCTTCAGAGTCAAGCTCTCGCAAGATATCTTCCAATGCAAACTCGATTAGGTCTACAGCGATAATGTAATAGGGATTGCTGACGACATCATCATATGTGGCTCAACCGAAGGAGAGCTCAATCAAGCCTTCTGTGAAATGCTCAAGGCCACTCGCAAACACAATGTCAGCCTAAAATCTGTAGTTCAAGCAGCACAAGTCGACTTCTACGGACATACTCTGAGAAAGAATGGGATCCAACCAGCAAAGGAAAACCTTGAGGCAATTCGCAACGTGAAGAGCCCATCAAACATTGGGGAGCTTCAGACCATCCTGGGCATGGTCACTTACCTGAACCGTTTCTAAACAAAGCTGGCTGACCTAACATCACCACTAAGAGAAGTAACCAAATAGAACGTCCATTTTAACTGGGAGATTCACCACCAGCAGGTACTCAATAGGATTAAGTAAGAACTCTGCACGTCCCAAATTATTTCCTATTATGGCCGAGAACCAAATACACCCACAATCCTTCAGTGTGATGCAAGCAAAACATGCATTCGGGCCTGGCTCAGACAGTTAGACTGTCACGGAAACGAGCTCATTGTTGCGATGACGTTCTGGTCACTCACTGACACCGAGTCAAGATATTCAAATCTTGAGCGTGAGTTCCTGGCAGTCACATATGGCCTTGAGAAGTTTGAGTACTACCTGCTCAGTCAGAATGTAACCATTAAAACTGACCACTCCCCTTTGGAACAAATTTTCAAGAAGAACATCAATGAGGCTCCGAGCCGATTGCAGAGGCTACTCCTTAGATGCCTATGATTTGATGTCAATGTGTAGAAGTACAAGCAAGAAAGATCCATTCCAGTCGCCAATGCCCTGTAGCGAGTTTGTCACAGGAAAGCAGCACCCACCGCTATTGACCCAACAGCAGTGAAGTCCTCTACGGCACTAGATCCTACCATGAACCCGCTGAAGAATACCATCTTCAGTGGCTGGCCTCCTTACCGAAAACAATGTCCGCAGGAACTATGGGACTTTTGAAATTTCAATGTAACCTCATAATAGAGGATGGCCTCGTGCTCAAAGGCAACAGGATCGTCGTACCAGCATCCATGAGAAACAAACTTCTTCAAGCAATCTACCTAGGGCACTAAGGAGAGATCAAATCTATCCTCCAAGCTAGAGAGTCGGTGTTCTGGCCTAGCATCTCTACTGACATCAGGCGGATGGTGAAGACCTGCGAACCATGTAAAAAACACCAGCCAGCTCAGCCCAAAGTACCCATCTTGCAGCCAGACCTTCTTACCCGGCCATGGGAGAAGCTCAGTACAGACATTTTTGAATTTCACGGGGAGAAGTACTTTATGGTCGTCGATTACTTTTCAAGATTCCCTGTGATAAGACTTCTCAACAACATGATCAGCCACACTGTGTGCAACCACTTTACAAGGATCCTGGCCTGCTAGCCACTATCGTTGCCAACTTCTGATCTCAATACATCAGCCAAAGCAAAAAAATCAAAATGCAGAGAAAGTGTCATCACGCTATGTTGTAGTTCCCCATACCACCCAACAGCCTAGCAAAGAGAGCAATTGGAACCTGCAAGTTGCTGTTGCTGAAAGCACTAAAGGAGAAAGAATGCGCGTACACAGCCTTATGGACGTATCGCACGACCCCCCTTGATGACCGAATGCCATCACCCCACGACTTGCTGTTAGGATGTAAACCACAAACGACACTCCCAGGCAGAAAAAGCATACTGAAGTATGAACACCCAGATAATGAAATTCACCACAAAGCTAACCAGAGACGTCAACAAAGGCAGGCCGTATTCTACGACAGAAAGGCTAGCAGCGACAATAGGCCACTTAGTAACCAGGAACCAGTGTTTCATGTGAAAGACCTTGAAGGATATCTGGCAGCCGGGAACTGTCCTAAATAGGCCACAGCCAATGGAGCGCCCTCTAGCTTACAAAGTGGACATTCAAGGAACAATCTACCAGAGAACTAGGGAGCACCTGAGACCAAGGAGTCAGAGCGAAGGACATGTAACCCCTTCAGCCGGCAGTAACTTTCCACTTGCAGTGGCTCCGGTACACAGCTCCAACTACGCACGCATACCCAACATCAGGGCAACCAGGCCTCCCCAGTTGGCAGAAGCTAGCCCTAAAGGCAGTACATTAACACCAGATCAATTACCTCATTCCAAGTTACCTTGCAGGGAGAAGCAAGCTGATCTTGAACCAGCCGGCACTGTCCCAACCAGTGAAAGAACTGGCCAACCAAAAGCCAAGTTACTAGGGCGGGACACATCACACGGGTCCCAGCAAAGTTTAAAGATTAAATAGAGACAAACAAAGACTTCTGAGTAAAACTATTTTCATTATCGACAGTGGGTTCCTTGTTACACCCATGAGACTGTTCTTAGTTCCTGTTATAGTTTGATAGATGTAAGACTGATTCGATTGACATTAATTATCATGTTTTATAGGTTCTTTCAATTGATTCATTTGCATGTAATCAGAGCTTCTTTTATCAGCAAAGAAAGGGAGATGTCATGGTACATCTAGCGTGACACACCATATATGGGCATGCATGCTTCATGCATGATGTAATCTTGACTAGAACACATTTTGCAGTGATTAAAAAAGAAAGAGTTCAATCTATCACAATTATTATTATTCTTAACTTAGTGTCACCCAAATAGGGCAAATTATCAAGCTGTTAAGTGCCTCAAACACAGGCATGGGTGAAAAAGTAAGATAATTTCATCTCTTGTGATGCTAAGTCTGCAGTTACTGTATCCTCCAGAGATCTTTGACACGTTTATGAGCAGAACTAGAGCTTACAAGCTCTTGCTAAACATGCAATGAGCCATGGTTGTGTTTTGCTTGAGACCAAGTCACCACCTCTTTTAAAATTCCTGAACCGTCAAGTTGTATCCAAAGAAAAGAAACAGGGAAGAGAGGTTTTAATGTGAACACTACCCCAAGCAATCGCAGTTCCAATAAGAGTAAAGATAACCACAGGAAGCCTTCATTTCCTTAAATGGGTGGTGAGGATGGAACGTATACATGTCAGTGTAAAACACTGACTGCGGACCATGGACTACGGTCTGAGTATAAAAATGGACTAAATATAAAATGCAGACTACGGACTACGTTGAAGACTGTGCAAATTGGTTCTAGGTAAGGTAAAAGAAGGTCAAAAGATCGCAAAATAGCACAACACGTGAGTTTAAGTTATAAATACTCCTAAAAAAAATTGGTATCCTAAGCCTGACCAAAATGCTATTTTCTACGCCCATTCTTAGACCTGGTGTTGGTCTCTAGCACCCATTACAGGGGTCAAAAACGCGATGTACATGTTCACATAGGTGTAAATCATGTCATCATCGCTTAGAATATAACATTGGATGATATATTTCGATTATTATGTATGTATAGGTGAGTAACCCCTCCCCCCTAAAGACAGCTTTTTCGCATCACCAAATGCCCCTGTATTAACCCTCTCGTCTGAGTTTTTCATTTCCTCATATTCCCAAGGCTTTGAAATGGAACTGTGGCACCTATTAGAATTTTACCCTTACTAATAACAATATAATTTCTTTTATTCAGTGCTTCTCAATTTCATATTTTTTATTAATTAAAAAACTATAAATTGAATTTTCCTCTAACTCCTCCTTTTCAAAAAATATAAAGTATAATTTTCAGTTGCCTTGAGTAGTGGCATATCCTACAATGAGGGACAAAAGTGTTGACACACTTTTGTAAAATGGCCCCATTTTTCATAGTGGACATACTTATCCCCTTCCCCTCTGTCTCCCTACCCCCTCCCCCCAAAATCAATGTTGTATTCTATATCTTCAACTGCAAGCAACATTGATTTAGGGGTTGGGGGGATTTAAGGCCTTTAAACACAGTCGTATGTAAAAGGAAGGAAATTGTTACTGAAAGCGTGTGTTTTAGACAAGTGTGTCAACTACTTTTGTCCCTGATTGTCTGAAAAAGGATTCTATGTTTTACGGCTTACGGTTGTACTCACATTATTTTTTGCGAGATGAATTGACTGTACGGGACGAATTTTTCGTTTTAGAACAACAATTTATTACGTTTAGTCCTTTTTTGTTGTTTACCTCCAATAAAACGTATGCATTGTACATCATTCAGTCATTCTCATATTACCAAGTGTGTCCTTTACACGCTGTAGGAGATCAGTTGTGTTGTAAACGGTGCCATTGCTGTGGACGCTATCTTGTCATAAGTATTCTGAGAAGTCAGGTACAACGATGGAGGAAGTAGGTAACGATGAGTGTGATACTGTCAGTTCAGAAGTAGAAACAAGCCAAGCTGTGTATGAGTTCAACACATGTCAAATGAACGCCCGCAATGTACGTCAAATTTACCTGATAACCTATAGCATGGTTGATACGGAGCGCTTTCCAACAAGGTCTTCGTTTGCAGAGGCTGTTGTACAGTCCTTCGCGGACACGCCTGCGAAAGTTTTACAGTGGTGTTGTTGCCTGGAACAGCACGTACAATCGAGTGTACATTTCCACATGGCAATGGAACTGGACAAGGACCAGCGGTGGCTTCCCAGCAAACGATACCTGTTAGAGAGGTGTGGTATTTCTGTACATTTCTCCGCCATGCACGAAAACTATTTCAGCGCATGGAAATATGTTACGAAAGAAGACCGAGATTATATTCAGAGTGATGGGCATACTGACCTTACAAGTGCAACTGCTCCAAGAACCACCAAGGCCCCTTCTACCAAAAGGACCACAGCCATGGAAACGAGAGAGAAAGATGCATTGTCAACGGACAACTGTGAGGCGCTTAGTGATGCCCAAACAAGCACAAGGAAAAAAACGACGGGGAAAAAAAGAGCAAACAAGAAGTAGGTAAAAAGTAAGAAGAAACGTATGACCTCCTATGAGTTATCGGGAATCATTTATGCTGGAAACATTAAGTCAAGAACTGAACTACTAGCCCTTGCAAGAGAGCAAAAAGTAGAGGGGAAAACCGACATCGCAGATTATTGTAAATAGAGGTGCGAAAGTTGTAGCAGACATGCTGGCTACTACCTGGGAACTGGAAAATTCTAAAGATAACCTACAAAGGAAGCGGAAAAGCAGAATCCAGCTATTAAAGGGAGCAAGAGACGGAGAATGCGTACAAAATTGTTCTGGACAATGGTGAATTTCAGCGAAAGAAGTACTCCAGGGTAACGGAGTGGACATAAACTATTTTGGACATTGTGTGCATGAATTATTACAGAAAGGACGAGGCAAATACAGGAATCTTATGATCGTAGGCCCAGCCAACTGCGCAAAAAAATTTCTGCTCAACCCTCTTAATGTCATTTTTAACACCTTTTCAAACCCAGAGTCCACAAGTTTTGCATGGGTTGGCGCGGAACAGGCTGAATGTATTTTTTTGAATGATTTCAGATGGTCCCCGGCTGTAATCCAGTGACATGATTCCCTATTAATGTTGGAGGGACAGTTAGTTCATTTACCAACCCCTAAATCCCATTATGCAAAAGATATTGTCTTTGAGAAAGACACCCCAATTTTCGCCACCGGAAAAAACCCCATTATTTCGTGAAGAATTGCACTACTGATAAGAAGGAGACAGAGATGATGGACATGCGCTGTTCATGTTGGAAAAGATTAGTTTCATTTTTGTTGATGAATTTTCACAGAAAAAAAGATTTTCGTGCAAAAACAAACACTCTCGGGATATAGTATGCGCCGATGTCACGCTGTTTGCGTTATCATGTCACACTGTGCATTGCCTGTTCTAATCGACAGTTATTTTATTCATCTATTGTTCTAGTGTACGACTTTAATATCTTGTACGCTGTCCTTTGTTTTTAATCAATAATTCTATTCTGTTATTCATACTTTCAACTGTCCTGTCAATTAAAGTTGCATGTAGATTATGAAAAGTGGTAGCTACGCGCTAAGAAAACTCCTGAAATGTCTCGTGTGTTATGTCCCTGTGTAATGCGTACTTCTCCAAAGCCATCTTTACAATGTAAAAAATATTTTCTATGAAATGAATATCACCACTTCTTGGAGGAAGAGGCACTAGCTTGGCTCCCAATCGCCTCCAAGCGGTGCGAGCTAACGCCGAGTTTTGACTAGGATCGTTGTCTTGCATAAATAGTCTTGGTCTTGCCTTATTGCAGACTCTGAACATACCGGGAAATTCTTGTTCCATCAGACTTTTAAAGTATTGTCTGTTCAAGGTTTCATACTGATTGCATAGAACTTCCCCTTTACCATAGCTAAGGGCAACCATAAATTTCGCAACTCTTCCACCAGTGCCGCAATGGGAACCTTTGCTGTGCAGCCAAAGGCTAGGCCCTCTTGTTGTTTTCTCCATATACGCCCACTTGGTGCCCGCGCTTGGTCAGCGGGGTTGTACTCATGAACAAAACTCACACCATCTAAGTAGAAAGAAATGTTCTCTGTCCAGAAGTTCGTAGAATGATGTCTTCATCTTTCGTGCAAATTGTAAATGCTTAACAAGGTCTGTTTTGGTTAAGAGGCCCTATTGACGTGTGTGTAAATACTGGTAACCTTCTCTATGGGGGAATCGTTGGACGGTCTCAGTTGACACGTGAGCAATGTCTACCCCGGCTTTTTGCATTAAACGCTTTATCGTGAATTTTCCATCGGATTTACGCAGTTTTGGAATGCTGCGCAGCAACAGTCGCTCCTCTCTATGGCTCAATGTCCGTGGCCGCCCAGAGACTTTCTTTCTCACTACTCGATCTTAACACTGACCATTCAGTGTTTGCGCTTATACAATGCAGTAAAGTGAAAAACATGAAATTTTCACTTCATCTAAAATTTTGTTGGTAGACATACCCTTGAATTTGACCAAAAAACGTACATATGCGCGTGTTTCCATGTCGATTTTTCCCTTGAAAACCATATCGCCTTCAATTCTGACAATCGGTGCCCTTTCGTTACGTAATCCCGTAATCCCGTAATCCCGTAATTTCACTCCAACCAACAATAACTTGAATATCACTCCGATTGCTTTAATTTCACTCAATTTCATTGTCACACAATGTTCAACATGTCTGCAGTAACACAATTTTGCCTTCAGACAATGAGGGACAAAAGTGTTGACACACTTCTGTAAAATGGCCCCACTTTTCATAGTGGACATACCTATCCCCTTCCCCTCTGTCCCCCTACCCCCTTCCCCCCAAAATCAATGTTCTATTTTATATCATCAAGTCTTTCTTCAACTGAAAACAACATTGATTTAAGGGTGGGGGGATTTAAGGCCTTTAAACACAGTCGTATGTAAAAGGAAGGAAATTGTTA